GCCTACCTCTGGCCGGGGAGATGGCTCAGTGGAATAAGCGCTTCCCTGACAAGTGCAAGGGCCTGAGTTCAATCCCTGGTTCCACACACACACAAAAAAAAAAGGAGCTGTAAAAAAAAAGAGGTACTGGGGATACAGCTCAGCAGCATAAGCACCTGCCTGGCAAGCACAAGGTCTTGAGTTCAATCCCCAGTACCACAAAAAATAAATTTAAAAAAAAAAAAGAAAGAAAGAAAGAAAGAAAGAAAGAAAGAAAGAAAGGGCCGGGAGATGGCTCAGTAGGATAAGCGCTTGACTGGCAAACTCAAGGATATGAGTTCAATCCCCGGTTCCGCCAAAAAAAAATAATAAATAAAATAAAAAGAAAGAAAGAAGAGATAGGAGAGAGTGAGGGAGAGGGGGGACAAAGAGGGAGGAAATCTGAAGCTTATTCAAAAACAGATCAGGGCCAGGGAGATAGCTTGGCAGCCTAAGGGCCTGCCTGGCAAGTAAAGGACCCAGTTTCGATCCCCAGTACCACATGCAATGCCAGTCAGAGGGCCACTGAAACCAGGCCTGTAATCCCAGCACTGGAAAGGCGGAGACAGAAGGATCACTACCAGTCCAAGTGAGACCCTGTACCAAATATATAAATTTAAAGAGAGAGAGAGAGAGAGAGAGAGAGAGAGAGAGAGAGAGAGAGAAAATGAGATCACAAAAAAATTGACTCACCTGTAAAATTGCTTCAAATATGCTGTTGATCATTACATACTCCAGGATAGTGTTCTGGCTGATATTGTCTGTCACCTGAATGTGAGGAAAAGTATTTCAACGTCTCCACTGTGGTACTGATTCAGATGGCCCTACCTGGCTGTCTAACTGAAACATAAATGTTACAACAGTCTATCAGATACTTAGCATGCCACACACAAGCACTCCAAAGCCATCAGAATCAGAGAGTATGGCGACAGCCAGTGAGCTGATGAAAACTCCTACAGCCGTGAACTCTCTCATACCCTCACAAGCATTTGCTTCCCAGTTCTTCAGAGTTCATTCCCCAAATGCACAGGAAAAGGTTTGCCAATCTAATAGTCTTGGAGTGGCAACAGAAAGAAAGGGAGCCATCTCAATTAAATGAACAACACCCGACCCATTCCTTTCAACAGAGAGTATAGGCCCGCCACCAGGTGTAAAATCAATTTGCTCGGGCAAATGAAAGCATTCAGAATAACAAGAACCATTTCATGTGAGCTCTGAGAAGGACAGACAGGACAACCTCAAGGAGGTAGCTCTGTGTAATGGCCCTTCCACAGCGCTAAGTATCCCACAGCACACAGCCTGGGAGGCACAACTCTGGCAAGTGCTCCGAGGTGACCTCCAGGAGGTGAAACTCAAGCCACTAACTTCCTTCTGTACATGTGGACACGGGTACTGCAATACCCAATAAGAGAAGGATTTTTTTCCCTTTTCCCTTCTAACCTTGGGCTCACCTACTGAAATAAGCTGGCTCCTATATTCATTAATACTTTGACAAATAAAGGTGGATCACTTACTGTCACTAAGCAAAGAAGAAGTTTCAGACATAAGCTCTTCAGACTTTCAGAACCTTCTGCACAAAGCAATGAATCCAAACTCTCCATCAAGTTCTGAGAAAGAGAAAAACTCAGCATTAAACAGTAGCGAGCAACACGTAAAGCACTTCTTTGTCCAGCTCTGGGTTATGGTACACAAGCTAACACGAAGAACACAGTGAACAACCACATCAGTCCTCTCTACGCCGAAGCCTTACAAAACTAAAAAGATTGAGGCCAGGGAGATAGCTCAGTAGAATAAACGCTTGCCTGGCAAGCGCAAAGGCCTGAGTTCAATCCTTGGCTCTGCAAAAAAAAAAAAAAAACAAAAAACCTAAAAAGAACTTCAAACTAGGTATTGGGGAAAAATGCTTCAGTACCACTGTACAGAACAAGAAGGAAGTCAACCAAATGACTGCAACCTGCCGCCTATACAGAAATGTTTGGATTAGAATAGGACAAACTAAAGAGGGGAAACCTAGCTGAGTGTGGTGGTACACAGCAGTAAACCCAGAACTCTCCGCTGCTGAGGAAAGAGTCACAAGGCCAAGGCCAGCCTGGCAATGTAAGGACTTCACAAGGCCCTGTACAAAAAAAAAAAAAAATCAACTGTAGTTCAACACTGTAGCTCAGTGTGAAGGCCCTGGGTTCAATCCCTAATACCCCACACATACACACACAGGAGAAAAAATGTTAATGCTTGGAGAACGTCAAGACAGCTATCCCGGGGCTGGAGAGATGGCTCAGTGGTCTAAAGCACCTACTTGGAACAAGCTTGGCAAAGCACAGGGACCACGGTTCAATCCCCCAGCACCACATGCCAG